TTTGGATCACGTACAGGAAAACTCTATTATGAGCAGCATTGGAAATATGGTAAAAGAACATTCATTGAAAATCTCTGTGAAAGATAGTTGCACCACAATGTAGAACTAGCATATAGCTTGCACAAATTCTGGTTTGAGATGGATGTGGGATAACACATATACAATAGCCTTATATACACCATAAGTGAACTTTCATGGAAATCCCTGAGAAAGATGCTCACAGAAGGCCCCCCATTCACAGTTCAGTGTAACTCAGTGAATCAAAGCAACACAACATAGAACTTACATATATTATACGGAAGTTCTAGTTTGGAACCTGTATGGGAAAATGCCATTATAAGCAGCACTGAGTATATGGTAAGAGAATATTCATTGAAGATATCTATAAAAGATAGTCACAAAACATTCCCCTTCAGGGATGGCCCGTGGCTCACTCGGGAGAGTGCAGTGCTGATAACATTCCCCTTCTAGTATTATATTTAACAATGAAACAAAGCAACATAATGTAAAATTGTCATATAGCCTGAGGAAATTCTGATTTGGAAGGGGTAGGGGGGAAAACATAATAGAATTAAATTCATGGTAAGAGAACATTGTTATTAATGTCTATGAAGATACATAAGGTTCCCCTGTGGAAATTCAGTGTAACTCAGTGAAATAAAGCACCACACTGTAGACTTCTCATATATCTAGCAGAAATTCTTGTTTGGAATGTGTATATGGAAAAGCCATTTGTAGGGTAAATGCAGAACACAGCCCTATTCCTCCCTCCTGTGAATACAAGGTTCCCCTACCCCTCTGGGAGACTGCCCCTGCCAAGATAGTTATCCAAGGAAAGACACATCCCCTTTAAGACAAACAGAATGCCAGAGGGAGTGGGGATCCTAAGTAAATAAAAAATCACTCTGGTACCAGGGGAGTAGTGGGTAGATTAACTTGTCTACCCAGAAAATTCTTGGGTGTGCTCTGAGTTCTGTGAGCTGGGTGAGGGTCTGCACAGAAGCCTGAAAATGATTTACACCCCTACATTGATCTGTTAATTATACAGCTGGTGTATGCACTCGGTGCTGGCATAGATTTGTTGCTAAATGGTCACCACCACTGGTATCTCTTTTAAGTCTGATAAACCAATGTCTCCACCCACAGGAGCTCTGGGTGACTCCACTGGAATATGTAAGCACTATGTGAGTGCCCTCTCAGATCTGGGGGCTTCAGCATTACACCATTAAAAGCAGCTTTGGGAATATGGTAGAGAACATACCTTAAAGGTCTCTGTGAAAGACAATTACACAAGGTTCCCCAAGCAGGATTAAGCTTAACTCAGTGAAACAAAGCACTGCTATATGACACTTGCAAATGGCTTGCAGAAATTCTTGTTGGAATGTATATGAAATAATGCCTTTGTAAGCAAAGTTGGATATGTGGTAAGAAGATATTCATTGAAAATCTGTGTGAAAATACTCACACAAGGATCCCATTCAGAATAAACCTTAACTCAGATAAGCACAGCACCACAATGAAGAATATGCATATAGCTTGCGCATTGAAAATCTGTGTGAAAATACTCACACAAGGATCCCATTCAGAATAAACCTTAACTCAGCTAAGCACAGCACCACAATGAAGAATATGCATATAGCTTGCGGAAATTCTGGTTTGGAACAACCATTGGGTATCAGAAAGAGCCATTATAAGCAGCATTGGATATGTAGTAAGCAAACACTCATTGAAAATCTCTGTGAAAATTTAGTCTCACAAGGTTCTCCATTCAGAATTCAGCTTAACTCAGTGAAACAAAGAACCACCATGTTGAACTCACATTTAGCTTGCGAATTCTTGTTTGAAATGTGTATGGTTAAACATCATTATATGCGGGAAGTTAACATTTATTGCAAATCTCTGTAAATGAGACACACAGAAGAACCCTATTTGGAATTAAGCTTAATGCAGTGAAACAAAATACCACCATGTACAACTTGCATTACCTTACAGAAATTCTGGTTTCAAATATAAACGGGAAAACACCATTATAAGTAGCTTTGGATATATCAAGAGAACAGTTATTTAAAATCTCTGTAAAAGATAGTCACACAAGGTTCTGCATTGAGAACTCAGCCTAACTCAATGAGACAAAACACCACAATGGGAGACTCCTCATATAGCTTGCAGAAATTCAGGTTTGGAATGAGTAGAGGAAAATGCCATTGTAAGCAGGTTTGGATATATGGTAATAGAACAAACCTTTGTGAAAGATACTCATACAAGGTTCACCATTCAGAATAAATCAGTAAAACACAGCACCACAATATCGAACTAACGTATAGCTGCATAAATTCTGGTTTGCAGTGTGTATGGGAAAATGCCATATTAAGTAGCATTGGATATATTGCAAGAGAATATTCATTGAAAATCTCTGTGAAAGCTGCTACACAAAGTTACCCAATCAGAATTCAGCTTAACTCAATGAAAGAAAACACCACAATGCAGTGCATATATAGTTTCTAGAAATTCTGCTTTGGAATGGGTATTGGAAAACACCAATATAACAAGCTTAAGTACATGGTAAGAGAGAATTCATGGAAATCTCTGTGATAGAAAGTAGCAGAAGGCACCCCATTCAGAATTCATTGTTACTCAGGAAGACAAATTACCACAATACAGAGCTCACATATATCTTGCAGAAATTCTTGTTTGGAATATGTTTGGGAAAAAGCCATTATAAACAGCACTGATTTGTGGTAAGAGAACATTTGTTGAAAATCTCTTGTTAATGATAGTCACACAAGGTTTCCCATTCAGAATTAAGCTTAACTAAGTGAAGCATAGTACCACAATGTATGTAGAATTCCCATACAGCTTGTAGAAACACTAGTTTGGAACAGCTTTGGGTAAATAGCATTATAAATAAGTGGTAAGAGACAATTCATGGAAATCTCTGGGAAAATTCTCAGAGAAGGTTCCCCATTCAGAATTCAGTGTCACTTAGTGAGACAAAGCACTATAATGTAGAACTCATGTAATATCTTGCAGAAATTCTTGTTTAGAATGTGCATGTGATAATGTTTTTATAAGCAGATTTGGATATGTGGTAAGAGAACATTCACTGAAAATCTCTCTGAAAATAGTCACACAAGGATCCCATTCAGAATTAAGGTTAAACTCAGATAAACAAAGCATGTCTCGTAGAGTTTTGGAGTATGATTGAATTAAGTTACTATCAATTCAAATAAGATTGTTTTAACTTGTAATTATAACAATGAATTACTATGTAATTCTCATAGTAACCACAAAGAAAATACAGAACAGACACAAAAGGAAATAAAAATGGAAACAAAACATATCACTACAAAAGAAAGTCAACTAAACACAAAAGAAGGCAGTAATTGAGGAAATGAGTGACTGAAATTAGCAACTCTGACATTAAAACTTTCTGTGGTTGGTACATAAATCTGGAACCTGTTTTATGTAAAACTGGAGCTTAAAGAGAAAAGTAATTTTATTTATATTTAAAAGTTATATTAAAAAACACTGATTTTTAAAAGTTTTATGACAGGAGCAAAAATATTCCTTATGCTACTATTTGACACCATTTTATACATTTGAAAAATAAATGAAAAAGAGAAACAGTTCTTTTTAGCATGAAGTCTTCTATGCTGTAAAAACAACAACAACAACAACAAAAACTATAGATTCATTATTACCTAAAACATCCATTTTCAAATGCAGCAGTGATAATTTTTACAAAGTAATTGTTTTTTATATATTGAATAACAATGGTGATTCCAATTTTTAAAATATTGGCTTAAAATGAAAGACTCAGAAGAAAAAAGTCTCTAGCATTACATCTCACAAGCATGTCAAAAAGCAGTAACAAATTATGTTAATTATCTTTTCAATACCAATTATCTAAATTAAACTACTCATGCACATAATATAGCAAATGTACTATCATTGTGTTCTTTTATTCAACTAATAATTGCCAATATGTGTTAGGTATTGTTCTGGATCTCACAATAGATCCACAAGTGAACAAAACAAAGAGTTTCCATTTTAAAAGATCATGTAGTAGACTTCTTCCTTCCCCCAAATTATAAAATCTATAAGGTGATTTAACAACATATATAAAAATCATTGTGGATTTACCTCCCTTTCTCCATATTCTTCACATAAAACTTTTTCATGAAGTAAATGTTTTATAACCAGAGATTATAATTTCAAAAATACTTTGAGGTTAATTTACAATATTCTGATATCCTGAAAAAATGTGCACGTGAAATGAATGGAGTGATAAAATTTAAACAGAAAAAGTCATTACTCTTTTAGGAACATGAGAAGTCTGTGCACTAATCCAGATTTAGTTGGAGGAAAAAGAGGTGAAGTTGCTCAAAGGTAGTATTTTAATAGAATGAGTCATGGTAAAGGTCAGCCACACTCAAATATGTGAACTGACAAAAACACTGTAAATACAGTTAATTCAGGATATAAATTCAGATGACTTTAATTTTAACATATACCCAAAACATATAAGGCATAATATTATTATCTAATTTCTACTCTGGCTTCCCATTGTACTCTGGGCTCTCACTACCTTTTGTATCTTTTATCTAATATCAGTTTTACTAGGTCTGACCTTAAAGCGTAGGAGTTACAAGCAAAACCCAATCCATTATTATAACAAAAATTACCAAGAACTTACTGTCAGTAGAATTTGATAAGAAAATTGAGCTTAATATTTAGCTTTTTATAACATAATATCTTATGCCTATTAGTCCCCAACAAAGCACCTAGCTTCTACTCAGATATGAAATCAAAAAGTCACTACTGGAGCCACAGGTAGGGTGGTACTAAAAGAATTTCTCCCACCTAAACAAATTTTTTACACTATGCTGTATGTTTCTTTAGTATTTTTCATTTTGGCAAATACTCATTAAGTGCCACGTTTGGGTTAATTTATGTTCTAAGTGCTGGAGATACATCTAATAAGATGGACATGGTACCTGCTGTCAAGGAGTTCACACTCTACTTGGGAAAAAATACATATACAATGAGCAAAAAAATTTTTAAAAATCAGAACTACAGAGTTCAATGCTATGAAGACACCTCACAGGAAGATGGGATAGAGAATGATGGGGCTCTACAACAGGATCATAAAAGAGGACTATTTCTTACGATCTTTGTCCTTCTTTATATTGGTGCACATCTGAATCTGTGATGATTCAGAGGCAGCCTTCATTTTATTAAAATCTATTATTTCTTCTTCCAATTGTCTTCTCTCTTCTTCAAGTTTCATTGTTTCCTCTTGTTGAACCCTTTTAAGATGCTCAAACTTGTCCTGTAGCTGTGAAACAAATGTGCAGTTATGACTCAGAGCACAGTGTGGCAGATCATTTAAAAGAACATGCTTTTTTTCCCCTGTTTATCAAACATACCCTAATCAGAGTAGTGCATGATATTAAAAACAACCTCAAAAGTTTGTGATTAAAGTGAACAAAGAGATATGAAATTTTTCTTAATTTTAATTTTAAATATTTTCCCATTGAATCAAATGTAATAAAACCCACAGCCGTGAATAATATTTTTAAGATATTTTAAAAATATTTCAAGGACTTATTCAGTTACTTTTCACTTCCTCAGGAGATCTTATTTAATTTGTGGGGCTTAAAATAAATTTAGCCACATGAGGAGGCACTATCACCTTGGATTTTATTGTAGGAAGGCCTGGGTCTTTGACATGACTTTGTTTTCGAACACATGGATTGCTTGTATGCATCAGAGAAGGTTTTTGTATGTTTATTTTTAGGGTAGGGCTTGTATGGCATAAAACTATAAAGAACAGGCTTAATTGTGGTTTAATTTTATAAAAATTATATAAGCTAGGGGCTTGAAATGCCACAATACTTATCAGCAGACTGATATGGCTGCCAAGAAAGCAAGCACAGTGTTGAGACCAGTGGTTCTCAACTTTGGGTGTTTGTGATGAGCATCCAGTGAGCTGGTAAATCTCCCACTGCTCAGACTACATCCAGCTCGATCACATCAGACTACCTAGAGCTGAAACCCAGGCATCAGTGCTTTTTAAACTTTCCCAGGTAATTTTAGTATACAACAAAGCTTGAGATCTATGATTCTAGACACAAATTATTTCTCATCTGTTAAAAACAAATATCTCTTGGAGTTTCATATTTAGCCCTAAGAAGCAAAGGAGCATTTACACACAAAGACATGAAGAATGATTGAAAAAGCTGAAGATGTGGGGTTCTGGCAACTGTAAATTACAGCAAAAAATCATTGAGAAAACATTTCATTTAAAGATGAGAAGCCAAGGGCAGAAACCAGAGAGAGCTAAACTTCATTCCAATATATAAATGGTTCAAAATTTAACTACTCCTAAATGGAATGGGTTCTCTTCTGAGTAAGTTAGTTCCCTAACCTGAAAAGTATTCAGCGACAGACAGATTAGCTATGAATATTGGATGGGAAGAAAAAATAGATGATTACTGAAGTCTCTTATAGATCTATGAGTTTATTATTTTATGCAAATCCTCTTCAGAGAGTAGCCATTAGTGCACCAATTCTTTTTTAAAAATTTATTTATTTTGAATATTCATGAGATACAAAGCTGATTGTCTCCCCTCCTGCCCATGGTGTGGGGGCCAGATTCATATTGGGGGCATACCCATTACCAGAAATTACTATTGTACCCTTTGTTCCCTTCCAATTATCCCCCAACTTCCCCCCCACCCTTCTCCCCTTAACTCCAATTTGTAGCCCTAGGAATGTTCTCTCCCTCTGTTGGATGGTGGGACTAATGTGGTCTTTCGTTCCTGCCTTCCTCTCTTAGCTCCCACATATTAACAAGCACATGCGGTATTTATCCCTCTGTGCTTTGCTTGTTTCACTCAGCATAAGTTTCTCCAGGTTCATCCATGTTGTTGCAAATGGGAGAATTTCATTCTTTTTTATGGCAAAGTAGTATTCCATGGTGTATATATATCACAGTTTCCTTATCCAGCCATCTATTAATGGACATTAGGTTGGTTCCATATCTTGGCTGTTGTAAACAGAGCTGCAATAAATATGGGAGCGCAGGTATCTCATCAACATGATGATTTCCATTCCTCTGGATATGTACCCAGAAAAGGGATTGCTGGATCATATGGAAGATCTATCTGTAGTTGTTTGAGAAACCTCCAAATTGTTTTCCAAAGTGGTTGTATTAATTTACATTCCAACCAACAGTGCAGTAGTGTTCCCTTCTCTCCACACCTTTGTCAGCATTTGTTATTCACCATCTTTTTGATCATAGCCAGTCTAACTGGAGTGAGGTGGTATCTCAACGTGGTTTTAATTTGCATTTCCCTGATGACTACTGATGTTGAGCATTTTTTCATATATCTGTTGGCCATTTGTATGTCTTCTTTTGAAAAATGTCTATTCAGCTCCTTTGCCCATTTTTAACTTGGGTATTTTTTTTACTATATAATTGCTTGAGTTCTATGTATATTCTGGATATTAGTCCCTTGTTGGATGCATAGTTGGCAAAATTTTTCTCCTACTCTGTAGGTTGTCTTTTCATTCTGTTGATTGTTTCTTTTGCTGTGCAGAAACTTTTTAGATTGATATAGTCCCATTTGTTTATTTTTTCTTTTGTTGCTTGTGCTTTTGGGTTCATGTTCATAAAGCCCGTGCCCTGACCTAACTGCTGAAGTGTTTCACCTATATTTTCCCTTAGTAATTTTACAGTTTTGGGTCTTATACCTAGGTCTTTAATCCATTTGGAGTTGACTTTAGTGTATGGTGAGAGATGCATATCTAGTTTCATTCATCTGCATGTGGATATCCAGTTTTCCCAGCACCACTTGTTGAAGAGGCAGTCTTTTCCCCAGTGTAGATTTTTTGTTGCCTTTGTCCAATATCACATGGCTATAAGCCTGAGGAGTGATTTCTGGGTTCTCTATTCTACTCCACTGGCCTGAATGTCTATTTTTATACCAGTACTATGCTGTTTTGGTTACAACAGCTTTGTATTATAATTTGAAGTCAGGCAGAGTTATGCCACCAGCTTTTTTTTTTTTTTTTTTTTTTTTTTTTTTTGTTTTTTTGTT